ACATTCTTATGTTTCAATTTTTTGATAAAAATGTATTCTCCCTCACTCTGAAGTTCTGCTTCTAATTATTTGTCCAAATAGGAAACCCCTGAAAAAGAGGTATATCTGATTCATTTACACTTTAATTTATGTGCAGCATATTCCAGAGCATTTATAGTTAACTGTTGCCATCAGTTAACCACCTTCTGACTTTCTCAATCAAATCCTAATAAGGTCATGCTATACCCAGTTATCTGGGTTTTTGCACAGATTCAAAATTAGCACAGTAAATTACAGTGAACATATTTTACATGATCTGTGAAATCAAGATCAATAGTTCTAGTCTTCCAAATATTTCCTTTTGAAGCCTACATCAATGTTTTTCTCCTTTCTGATTTTGCCGGGCCAGGCACAAATTCTGTTTCCAACAGAAATAGCAGCTATAACGTCAATTGCATACTTGGATAGTGAGCATCATGCCTCCCACAGAAGTACCGAGGGAATCAGAAGATGAATTTTACTTTAAACAAATGGTTACATAATGACAAAACACTTACACTGTCAGGCTCTGACTTGGAGGTGCCACAGTGCAAAATCCAATATATTTTCATTAATAATTTAGAGTGATTTGTGATCTCTGCCATAAAGCACTCTATTTTGCTAACTCAGTGAATATACTTCTATGCTTCTGTGGGAGGGGGGCAGGGGAAGGTAATCAATTTGAGATAATCAGAGCACTGGATATGTTTTAGCCTCTATGGACCTAAGTACACAATCTATGCTATCAGGGTTGCAGAACCCAAGGCCCAGGGTCTGTACCAAGGCAGGCCACACACTCTCTCATTGGTCCTGTTCTACACTCATCTTCAAGTGCTCTAGCCTAACTGGAACACATCCTTGGACTTTGATGATGCCTCTTGCTTAACTGGACAGAAAGAGGTGTAAAAACCTTTGTCTTTTGCATGGCTGGAATAATAACCTACGATACCCAGAAAATAGATGCACCCATTGCACCCATTCACTTTTGCCCCTGGCCACACACACTACTGTCCTACGGCCTCACGGAGGTTCTTCACGAGGGAAAGCAACCATTGGGTTGCAAATGGCTCCTCACCCCTCGCTCTTATCTTTTACTCTTATTACATGGAGGAGCCTGCAGCAAGGCAGCTCAGTTGTTGCAGCACCATGGAGAGTTCTGAGTGAGCGACTTGCTCTAACAAGGACTGGAAGTGAACCGAGTTCTTGCAAGTCTGTCTCCAGTCCACATCACTTAGGCTCTTTCCCTGTTTCCAGGACTAGAGTCCTTAAAGGCCTAACCCTCTGTCTTGAAGAAAGGCACCCCTTCACACAAAAGCCAAACATGTTTCAAGGCTAATGAATGAATGAATTTATGCAGAATAATTCACAGCAACATACAGCTCATGTTTCAATACAGCTTACGAAGTAGCATTTTCTTCTACTAAAAGAGGGAGAGAACATCCTGGATGTATTCAGGACTCTTAGAAATCAGATAGACAGACACAAACATGAACAAGGGATGCATGAACATCCTGCAGCTTGCACCCAAAGCTTTTTGTGAGTGTTCAATCTGAACACACAGAAAGTTCAATGGTGCTCAAAAACTTTCACTGTCATTACCATCTCCCCTTTCTTCTGTCCCTAAAGATCCTAAATGCACTTGGATGAGAGAATGAAAATGGAAGGCAGAGGATGCTGTCCAGCCCATGATGAGCCATTTTCCCTGGCAAAATAAATCATGTAAATTGTGTCAGTTTCCAATGAGGGTGCCAGCACTGGCTATTGTTGTTGTTATTTTATTTGTACCCTGCCCAGCTGACTGGATTGCCCCAGCCACTCTGGGTGGTGTCCTATCTCTGGCAGTACAGTGAAGTGACTTCTGGCACCACCTTCCTCTGCTTTGCCCCAGGGTCCCTGGGGACAGGAAAGGAGGAAGTGGTGACAGTGCTTGAAAGGTTGGAAGTGAGCACAACCCTGTTTGCACCTCTACCCTGCTCACAAGCTTGCAATCAGAGGTGCTCACTTTTGTTATTCTTTCTGTTCAAATTCTTGCCACATCCCTAACAGGAATACAAAAGTTATGCCAATACTCATAAACTCATAGCAAGAAGATAATCACTTTTGGATCTGAGCATAACGGGAAGCCAATCAATTAGGCTGGAAAGAAAGACTTCACAACCTGTCTCCTAACTTGGGCAGATTGAGAAATTATGGAACCTAGTGGCATTGTGATGTGGCAACACCTCTTCACATTATGATATTGAAACCTTGGTAATAGAACCATTTGCTTATGTTGTGAATTTTGGCTCTGCCAAGTCACTATACAGTGATCTGGAAGCACCCACCCTCTTGTCCCTGGCCATTCACTGCATAACATGCCAGTGCAAGGTGAGCAAATGGGCAGGTCTCACAAGGTCAATATGCAATGACTAGCATTGCCTTGATCCTTCTTGCTTACCACTTTGGAGCTCTAAGCTGAATGTAGCCAGGGACAGGAGGCAATAGGATATGGCCTAGTTCCCTCCCCTTGGCCAAGGATAGCCTAGAATGGAAGTAAGCCTATACTGTGCCACTAGCCCATCTGGAAAGGGTGCAGGAAAGAGAAATCCCTCAGCTGACAGTGGAAACTTCAGGCAGTCAGGTGCAGAGAAACAGCCTCAAGTAATAGGTCTCACAGGCCTTTACCAACATTAGGCTGAAAGTTATGGTGCCCACTGTGGACCTACTCACAGTGACCTATCCCTGCAGGGAGCGAGGCCTGAGCCAAGAAGGGAACAAACTGGACAAGACAAACTTCTGGGGTTTTGAAATTGGCCACAACTTTATTGATTCCAGATGTAGGTTGGATTTGGCTTAGGCACTGGGTATATATCCCTCACAGCCCCCTGGAGGAGGCCTGTCTCAAGACATGGTCAAAGTGTTCTATACAGCTTCTATACAGTGGTACCTCGGGTTACATATGCTTCAGGTTACATACACTTCAGGTTACAGACTCCGCTAACCCAGAAATAATACCTCGGGTTAAGAATTTTGCTTCAGGGTGAGAACAGAAATCGTGCGGCGGCGGCGGCGGCGTGGCAGCAGTGGGAGGCCCCATTAACTAAAGTGGTACTTCAGGTTAAGAACAGTTTCAGGTTAAGAACGGACCTCCAGTACGAATTAAGTACTTAACCCGAGGTACCACTGTACTGCAAAGTGTTGGAGCTTCTATACTGTCTCAAATTGCGAGTTACAGTTCTGTGATAGTTCACTGGCAGGATGTGGCCTTTTTCTGGGGTGGGGGGTTCCACCCCTTTCATTTCATGTTACTCTTTGTCTGATCCTCCCCATCATTACATTTACTCTATTTCCTTGAATAGGACAAGTGGGATACGTCAGATAAAAAGGAAATTGTATGGGGTGCTTTCTATATGCTTCTACATTTTTAAAGCTTACATATAAATAGAATCGTTCACAATTTCAAAAACATATAAAAGCATTATCCTTACATAAGAATATGACAAAATTAAATGGAACTGCTCAGTAGTCTAATAGTCTAGAGTGCTACTTTGCAGAAGATAGCACTTCAATGGTCTTACAAGTCTTAAATTAGCAGCCACTATTTACAACATATGGCTTTGCAGAAGTGAGTCAGAAAAAGACAACAAAAGTAATTAAATTTCCATCTTCGCCCTTGGTCCTATTGTCTCATAGTTGCAAGTATATAAAGCTTATTGCTCAAGAATCCAGGAAAAGCAAGACAATATTTTCTATACTACCCTCTTACTGGCTTACTATCACACTATTTTATTAACAAGCATTTACCCATAATCATTGGAGAGTGGGTACCTAATAGCAGCAGTCATCACCCTGCTTGTTTTCAGAACAACCCTGGAACTGGTGACACTCACATTGCAAGTAACTATGTAAATCACACGCACATATTCTTATCCTTCAGCTGTTACAGGAACAGCAGTGGGGCTGGGGTAAATGGAGAAGCCAGGTCACAGTAACCCCCACAGTATTGAGGTAACGTATGAAACAGCCTAAGGCCTCCCAATGAATTCATATCACTGTTCCAATCTGAATCAGGAACACCCCAGCTCATTGCTTATTATCTTAGTCATTTCACTGCATGAGCATTCAATGGCTATGGTTAAAGAAAACCTAGGGGATTACATGATGAATTCAATGACTTGAACTAATGGAGAGTGCGTTAACTCCCATGAATGCTACTCAAATCATCCCTCCATTCACAGTGGACGCATGCCTAGATTCAATTGCCAGTATCCCAGAACAAAGAAATGACATAGTCAGTGATGAAAGCTCCTTGATCAGGCTGCATTTGTAGATCCAAATCCACTGAGGTTCTAGATTCAGTCAGCCATTACATGGATAGCATCCACTTCCATAGAGAGTTCTCATTTCTAGAGGAGATGCTTCCACACACTCATCCAGTTAGATCAGGGCAAGTAAAAAATATTTATCTTTTTTTTTAATACCACATGTTTTTAAAAAACATGGGGGCAGGAAATTGAGAAGAACTAAAACCAGAAATGTGAGGAGACAAAACCACAACGTTTCTAAACATTAACAGTGTGATGGATAATAAAATTTTCATTACTTGAAATTATGAGATGATGAGCTACATAAAATACAGAACCATGAAGAAAGTGAAGGACAACCAAAACACGCCATTTTAATGTTTGAGATTTTCCTGCTTTTTATTATGTTTTGAAAGATAAGATAGTCAAAATAAGTGGGACCCAGAATTCACTTTCCAGTAACATAATTATGAGTGCTGTAACAAAACATCTGCTCCACTCTTCATTTTTCTTTTGGACTTTCTACAGGCTTGAAAAATAGTTATGTACCATAAATATCCCTCTATGAGTCATTTCCTTAAGTGAACAGCTGCCTTCTAATTAGCCAAATGTTCTTCATTTTAAATCATACAGCTAAATGAACAACCTGCAACAGGATGAAATCCAATGATTTTTTTAAAACATCAAAACAGCACAAACCTGCCATTTGTAGCAATCTGTAGAGGTCAATACACCGACTTCTGTTCCAATGGGTTTAAAATAATCTTCTCAATTGTTTGAACCGAAGAATGTTCTCCAGCACAAGATGAATCTAAAACAGCGGAAAAAGCACAGCCTTCAGAAAGTCTTGAATACAAACATGATCGGGAATTCTTTAGATTTAGTGATAATAATGGGAATAAAGGACACCACTCAGACAAATGTGGAGCACAATCATAATGCACATCTACTCAGAAGTAAGCCCTGCTGATTTCAAGTGTTTAATTCTAGGTAACTGTCAACAGGATGGCAATTTGGAGCACATTAACTCATTTCAACAGAAGAGTTAAGTACACGCTTACCTCTCACCTGGTATAGCTAAACTATGTAACTCTCTCCCTCAGGAGGCTTCAACAAGAGGTTGAACAATTCCTGGGGAATATGACTATCAGTGGCTACTAGCCACAAAGACTATATTCCACCTCCATTGTCAGAGCCATTATGCCTCTGAATACCAGTGGCGGGGCATCATAATATACGCTTAAAGTACAAATAATAAATTGAGCATCTTCAACTGTGTGCACTGCCAACCATGTTGTCCTAGGTACTGACATGGAGTCTGCTTCCCATTGCTCCACTCATTTGCCACTAAAAATACATGAAAGAGGTCTAGGATTAGATTAAATTTGGTTGCTATAAGAATAATCAGATAACAGATTTAAAATAAATGCAAAACATCAAATTTTACTTTCAGTCCCACCATATGCTTGTATCAAAGTAGATCTCTTCTCAAAAGCTGTGCTTCTGGAAAAGTGACCTATCTTCCTTTGGGAAAAAAAAGCCAAAATAATTTGCATTCGTTTCTAAAGGCCATTTTAAGATATTTTGGGTGCTCTTGGCTGCCATGCTGCCTTTGCTTTCTACATGGGCCGGAAATGCTATTAGCTTTAATAAAGAATACAAAGAACTTTAGTGGTTCAAAATGTGCTTAAAGTCTGACCCAAGTTTCCTTTCCTTTCCAAATATAAATTATGAAGCAATCATTAACCTTCATTGAAAAATGAATCACATTATTAGCTTCTTCACTGTGACAGAGGACACAGTTTCTTCTTTCAAAAGAACAAAGTGGACCCTAATGTAAATCACTTGATTTGGATCAGCATATATATCAGGGAAAGTTAATATTTTGCATATGTGTGGAATATTTCATATTTGAGCTTATCACAATTTGACCAAACCCCAAAGCACATCTTACAAAGTGGTGATGATGATGATGATGATGATGATGATGATGATAATTTATTATTTATACCCCACCCATGTGGCTGGGTCTCCCCAGCCACTTTGGGCAGCTTCCAACAAAATATTAAGATACAATAGTCTGTTAAACATTAAAAGCTTCCCTAAACAGGGCTGCCTTCAGATGTTTTCTAAAAGTCAAGTAGTTGTTTTTCTCTTTGACATCTGGTGGGAGGGCGTTCCACAGGGTGGGTGCCACTACCGAGAAGGCCCTCTGCTTGGTTCCTTGTAACTTGGGCTCTCGCAGCGAGGGAACCACCAGAAGGCCCTCGGCGCTGGACCTCAGTGTCCAGGCAGAACGATGGGGGTGGAGACGCTCCTTCAGGTATACTGGACTGAGGCTGTTTAGGGCAGGGGTCAGCAAACTTTTTCAGCAGGGGGCCAGTCCACTGTCCCTCAGACATTGTGGGGGGCCGGACTATATTTTTTGGGGGGGAGGGAATGAATTCCTATGCTCCACAAATAACCCAGAGATGCATTTTAAATAAAAGCACACACTCTACTCATGTAAAAACACCAGGCAAGCCCCACAAATCACCCAGAGATGCATTTTAAGTAAAAGGGCACATTCTACTCAAGTAAAAACATGCTGATTCCTGGACCATCTGCAGGCTGGATTTAGAAGGCGATTGGGCTGGATCCAGCCCCCAGGCCTTAGTTTGCCTACCCATGGTTTAGGGCTTTAAAGGTCAGCACCAACACTTTGAATTGTGTTCGGAAATGTACTGGGAGTCAATGTAGCTCTTTCAAGACCGGTGTTATGTGGTCTCAGCGGCTGCTCCCAGTCACCAGTCTAGCTGCCACATTTTGGATTAGTTGTAGTTTCCAGGTCACCTTCAAAGGTAGCCCCACATAGAGCACATTGCAGTAGTCCAAGCGAGAGATAACTAGAGCATGCACCACTCTGGCTGGTAAACAGCTGCCCTGGACACAGAATTGACCTGCGCCTCCATGGACAGCTGTGAGTCCAAAATGACTCCCAGGCTGCGCACCTGGTCCATTCAGGGCCATTCAGGACCAGGGAGTCCTCCACACCTGCTCGCCTCCTGTCCTGCAAAAACAGTACTTCTGTCTTGTCAGGATTCAACCTCAATCTGTTAGCCGCCATCCATCCTCCAACTGCCTCCAGACACTCACACAGGACCTTCACCACCTTCACTGGTTCTGATTTGAAAGAGAGGTAGAGCTGGGTATCATCCGCATACTGATGAACACCCAGCCCAAACCCCCTGATGATCTCTCCCAGCAGCTGCATGTAGATGTTGAAAAGCATGGGGGAGAGGACAGAACCCTGAGGCACCCCACAAGTGAGAGCCCAGGGGTCTGAACACTCATCCCCCCCCCACTTTCTGAACAGGACCCAGGAGGAAGGAGCAAAACCACTGTCTAACAGTGCCCCCAGCTCCCAGCCCCTCTTGACGGTCCAGAAGGATATGGTCGATGGTATCAAAAGCCACTGAGAGATCCAGCAAAACTAGCAAACAACTTTCACCTTTGTCCCTAGTTCACCGGAGATCATCAACCAGTGTGACCAAGGCAGTTTCAGTCCCATGATGAGGCCTGAATCCCGACTGGAAGGGATCCAAATAGCAGTGGAAATTCAAATTCTATTTGTCATATAGGTTGATTTATACTTTTCTACCTACCTTAATGAGAAGTTACCTCATTAGTTTCAGTCACACGAAAAGAAGGCACAGAAAATGAAGAGGAGCCTCTACCTAAGTGGAAAGTTCTAACTTGAAAATATGAGTGGAGCTAACAATCAAGGTCCTGGAACAAGGAGACAATTGGAAAAGAAGTACAAATCTACTGTATTTTAGTGCTCAGTATTTTAATTTCCAGGTGTCAAGATTTTGAAAGCATATGTTTTGAACTCAAAGACCACAATATCCTCTTTATGAATATTATCCTTGCTGCCTTGTTAGGCATTAGCAATAGAAGGACATCAGAATGAAGTTTATGTGCAGATGACAAGATGAGGGGAAGAATGCCTGATGGGTGTGGAGATTAAGATTTAGTAAGGTTATGGGAAATGGGATCTAGGAAGTATGACACACTAAGGGTAGCTAAAGGAAAGCAGTAGATAATCTAGGAAGAAGATACAGTACCTGGTTGAAAAATAAATGGTACAGGCAGAGTCACAAGAAAAGCCTCAAGAAGGCATGGAATTAAGAAATAAGAAGCTAACTAAGATGGGAGTTAGACTTAGAGAAGCAAGGCAGACTTGGCATCAAAAACTGGTGCCAGCTACCTGCAGAAGTCTATCAGGGTGTATCATCCTGCTAAGGCATTAAGATCTGCTGTGGATGCCCTACTTACTAGTCCATAATTGAACGGGCTTTGTATCTCTACAGCTCAAGAAAGGGCCTTCTAAGTCACCACTGAGATTGTCCTCCCTCTTGAAATCCAGCTGGCACCAACCCTGATTAGTTTACTTAGCTTTTTAGCCAGGCTTTGAATGATGTGGGTTGGCAATGAATTGGACCACTGATAGATTTTAAAGCTTTTATTGGAATTGCCTTATACTTAGCTTCAATAGTTTGATGTTATATTTGGTATAACATCACCTTCTTTGATGAAGGCCAGGTCAATAATGAAGCAATGAATGAATGAATAACCAGCATCCTTGGACACCTGTTGGGTCCCAGTGCCCCAGCAGGGTCCACTCCTGCTGATGCCCACCCTGGTTCCTCCACATCAGGTGTCTGGGTCTGCAAGCCAGCGTTTTAATTTTCTACAATGCCCCCAATATAGCACTGCTCAGAGGCATGTGGGAAATTAAAATTGTGGCCCATTTCCACCCACTGGATATGTTAGAGGCATTGTTCATGGATCACTGCCTTGTCGTGGCGAAGGGGCTTGAATAATTCAGAGAAGCTATGAGCTATGCCATGCAGGGCCACCCAAGATGGATAGGTCATAGTGGAGAGTTTTGACTAAACGTGATTCACCTGGAGCAGGAACCGGCAAGCCACTCCAGTATCCCTGCCAAGAAAACTCCATGGACAAAAACATCACCTTGCTGACAAAGGTCTGTATAGTTAAAGCTATGGTTTTCTCAGTAGTGATGTATAGAAGTGAGAGCTGGACCATAAAGAAGGTTGATCGCCGAAGAATTGATGCTTTTGAATTATGGTGCTGGAGGAGACTCTTGAGAATCCCATGGACTGCAAGAAGAACAAACCTATCCATTCTTAAGGAAATCAGCCCTGAGTGCTCACTGGAAGGACAGAGCGTGAAGCTGAGGCTCCAATACTTTGGCCACCTCATGAGAAGAGAAGACTCCCTGGAAAAGACCCTGATGTTGGGAAAGATTGAGGGCACAAGGAGAAGGGGACGACAGAGGACAACATGGTTGGACAGTGTTCTCAAAGCTACTAACATGAGTTTGACCAAACTGCGGGAGGCAGTGGAAGACAGGAGTGCCTGGCATGCTCTGGTCCATGGGGTCACAAAGAGTCGGACACGACCAAACGACTAAACAACAACAATAACAATAATAAGGAAGGTACCTGAGTGGCTTAGTAATTTGGAGGCTTCAGCATTCACATGCATCTCTCTTTACATGAATAATCTGCTGCAGCAATTCTCTTGTCAAGAGAAGAGTATTATAGAAAAGTGATTTGTCATCTTCTGGCATCAGAAAATTACTGACATCAGTTAGTTATATGTCATTCAGCTATGCAAGGTATTGGCAACTCTTCAATTCTTGATGGAAGCTTTATGGGGGGAACTGGACTTTTAATTTTTTTAAATTATGAGAACTCATTGTTACAATATCTACTTGGCAAAAATTTGCTGTCACAATACAGA